TTACAAATAGAAAACTTCTAGTATAGGTAAAATAAATGTCATTATTGGTTGCTTTCACTCATAGATTACACTAATATTGATGGTAACTTACACTATAAAAATTAATCTATTGATATTACCACTTGATCATATGTTTTGAAACAACTCTTCCAATGTAATCATATCCAATCCTTCTCATGCGCATCAAATAATGAGTGACTTTGAACATATGAGTGAATTGTACATTGAGCACACACACACAAACAGAGGGTGTTTCCTTTAACTGATAATGTTGGAATATCTCGTGAAGTACTGAACCTACCAAAAAAATAGTTTTACAAAAGTTGTTTGGTATGAAGAGGGACATCATATGGTTCAAATTATTTTTTTATGGGTTGATTAGTGGCGGTTTTTTTTTTTTTAGTACGATGGGATTTATTGAGATGAATTCAACGACCCGCCAAATGAGGTCAGCCGTGCCTAAGCCTGAATGGCTGGTTGACAGCTATTACGCTGCATGCTACAAACAAAGACCGTACTTCTTATCTCACCTTGTGCTTCTCAAGTTACCGACATAAATAAATGAAGTTTAATTATGTTCCAATTTCTACTTACCAATGTTTAATTAAAGGAAAGTTTTCATTTGTAACACTTAGTAACTTGAGAAGCATAAGGCGAGATAAAAAGTTCGATTTTTAATTACAGCATACAACCTAATAGCCGTCAAACAACGATTCAGGCTGACTTGACTCCTTAGGAATTTACAAATTTATAACATTTTACAACAATAAGTTACCTCGTATAGCAAGTCGTTGAATTCGTCTTAACAGACGCCATCCTACTATGAAGAAAAAAATAAATGGTTTCATTTAAAAAAGTGAACTTGACTTTTAAATTTCTTCCCACCACTCGACCTCCAAAAAAATAATTTGCACCGTACGGTGTCGCCCTTAATACCAAACAACTTTTGTTGGAACATTTTTTTGATAAGTTCAGCCCCACACAAGATATTCCAATTTTGCGAGATAAAGGAAACACCTTGTATATATTCATTCATAATTCATATATAATTCACTATATCTTTCAATTTTTTGAAAATTTTTATTATTTTAAATCTAAATTACAAGTTCATTTTTGGAGTAACAATATTACTACAAAACAAAAATTATGATCCACAATATATTAATAGCATTTTATTTTTTTTACACAACTTAAATTTATTTAATGCATACTTTCTGAAAATTATTACATTTTTAAAATATTTATTACTATGATTTTACAGAAAGTATGTTCCATTGTGTAATTTGAAATATTTTAGTCAACATAACAAGTATTGTAATAAAATAAAAATTAAATTTTACATTTATTACATAGAGATAAGAATGAAGAGTAACACTGAATAACTTGAAATATGCAATTCAAGCACTTTTTAATTTACAAAACATATTGTAGCTACTATATTATGTTCCTAATCATGATGTTATTGTGTGTATATTATGTGTATACAAACACCAAATAATAAATGAATGCTTATATATTTCGCTTTTTATAGAGTTTTTCTTTTTTAATAACACTATTTTCATCTAGATGTTGAATTTTTTATTTTAAAATTAATAATATCAGTCTCACAAAATTAACATGTACTTAGATTAATGTATTCTTGAGGTATATAAAACTGTTTTGTGATATGTTAATTTTATGATATTGTTAATAATGAATTAATATCAATCATGCAGGATGTCCTGCAACTGGTGACAACCAGGAAGAAGGTGATTTTACATGTAAAAACAAATCGAACATATGTAATAAAATTTTATCATCCAAGAATTCATTTTTGAGAATATCCTTTTTGAAAGTTTCTTGTATATAGATACAACTACTATTATATTATTTTACTATCAACGATTTCCACTCATACTAATGTTCATAGGCACTGATAGTAGTATGACTTAAATAACAAAATAGGTGTCTGCACTTCTTTTTCTTATGTTGTAAATATTATTACAGTGCCCCTTATATCTCTTGTATAGAATTTGACAAAATAAGGAAAGGTCAATGGGTTTTGATCAATTTTTATTTTTCTATTTTTTAAATTAATTGGAAATAGATTTCATCAAGGATATGTGTTTATACACACTCTAATATCTATAAACACTAATATAAATAAACATTGTCAGTGGTAAAATGATATATGTAATAATACTTTCATGTATGTGCAACAAACTTTCAAAATCAATATTCCCAAAAATTAAGCCTAAAACAAGAAAATTTTATTTCTAATTTTTAATTTGCTTTTTTATATTCAGGCTCCATACTCCAAACTATATTGCCAGTTACACTACACTCAAAATAATTGGAAATATTGTTTAGTTTATAAAAACTTTTCATAGTTTATTAATACAGAAAGATAACTTGTAAAGACATCACAGGAGGTTTGGTCAATTACAAAATTAATTAGGTAGTGTTCACCAAACTTTGTTGTTCTTGTGTTATTTCCAATGCTGCTTGAGTCTTTTGTAATTCCTCCATATTCTTACGAGCAATAACAGGCTGTACTTCCATAAATATTTCCATTATTTTATGATTAGCATGAATATGTTTACCTGAACAATTTTCTACACATTGAGCCTGTAGCAGATTTAAAAAAAGTACTGCATTAAAAACTGGTTTTATATTTTTTAATGTAGGGGAAATGTGGGTAGTCCCGGACAGCGGGCAACCGCGGACAACTGAATATTTCAATTATCCAACTGCATAAAGAAACAAATGACATATTGCCACGCGTCTTCCTAGCGTCAAGCGATACTGATATTACACTTAATTTTGTTACGATTAAAAGTGGTATTCCTGTTCCAATCAAATTTTATCAAACCTTATTCTAAACTAAATGTAAGTATTGTTTTATGTTTTATTGATTTGTTTTGACAATTAAGTGTAGTTTAAGATCTTTGAGTTTTTTTTGTTTTTTTGTTTTTGGTATTGTAAAAATGGTTAATAAAAATATTGAATCACGTCCATCGGGTACCCCCGGTCACTTTTATCTATTGCAAATTTGAAAATCGTACATTTTCCTATCATATCTTATATCTTTCCAAGATTCTGTCGAAAATTTTAATGTCGAAAAAAAAGGCCGAAATTTAAAGGACGAATAAGCAATAAAGGTAAATGGGATGAAAATAACATGAAAGATGTAATTGTTTATAATGAAGGCTGAATTATCAATAAGAGTAGCTACTAAAAAATATAACGTGCCACGTAGTTCTCTAAAAGATAAAAAGCGATCAAGAAATAATTCTTAAGCCGAAATTAGGTCGCTTTTACTCAACTTTTAATGAGAAATTTTCATGGCAACTTTTTAATCACGTGAAATAATTAGACAATCGCCTAATGCCATTGACTAGAACAGAGTTTTTAAAACTAGCTTTTGATTTGGCAGAGCGTCTTAATATTCCTCATAGATTCAACAAAGGAAAAAGAATAACATCAGGACATTAGTTTGTGAAGTGACTTTCGAGGAAGACTCATAATGATAAATATAACATAATAATGAATGATATAATATTATTTGCAACATTTATAAGAATATTTAATAGAAAAGCGAACAAAATAAATAAAAAAATAACTGTCTGGAGCTACTCATCATTTTTTGAATCCTTAAAACTAACAGCCCCAAAATTCACTGATTTTTTGCTTAAAGTCATATAAGAGATATACTTAAATTTTAGAATTATAGTAAAAGAGGAAGGTCTAAAGTTCATTTTTTGAAAGCTTAGTTTGACTAATTACCTTTTGTTAGTATATTTTTATACTATTTCATTTAAGTGTCTGGGGCTACCCACTCTTCCCCTATATTTATGCAGTATACACAAATGCCTTTATTTTTAAAATATCTTCAATAACTACAATAATAAATTTGTATTTCGTAAATAAAGGTAATGATATATTATAAGTATAAAAACATACCTCTTCAATAGTAATATCCCTTGAAATAAATGTACTTACACATGTTTTAAAGCATGTTTCAGACATTTGATTGAATAGAACTTGAAAATCTTTCATCTATAGAAACATAAAATTATACATGAAAAAAATTACACACACACACATGTCTGTAATAAATATAGACTAATAGTATAGGTTAGGAATGAATACTGATAATTAAATATAGCTTACTAATTACATTTCTAATAACCGTGGAATCCATATCTAAATTATTTACTGCAATGCTTAACTTAAATCAAAATTTTGCAATATTTTAATATCCAGTAGCTTTACTATCACGTAAGTTATAACATGATAGCATACTTTAAATTCATAACAATCTCGATATCGACCATCGGTACATTTTCATATATGTACTTTGTTTTATATATTTAGAAATAAGTAAATTAAATAATTGTAATTAAAAATTGATTATTAATACAA